GCCATCCTCTTGGGTCTGTGACCCCAGTTTTGTAAACATGGAGATGGAGGCACACAGTTGCAGCACTAGTCAGTATCAAAGCCAGCATCTGACTGAACCCACACACCTCACCCAGGGCCCACCATCCTCCTGTCCTCTGTTCATTTCCTTTCTTTACAAATACTTATCTTGCACTTACACGGACAGAGCATCAAGGTCAAAGGGCATCAGGCAGCTCTGCATTCAGTGCCCACTGTTCAGTGGACGTGATGATCCACCCCTGGACTGGGAAATGCTCCAGTGAAGAGACATACAGCTACAACAAGCAGGCCTGTCCTTATGCCTACTCGGAGCCCTCCCAGGCTCCCCTTCCCTCATCAGCACTCTCAGCGTGACATTTAAGGCCCTCCAGGATCTGGGCCCTTGCCCCTGCTGCAGCTTCCTCCTTCCTCTTTGACCCCCTGAGCCCAGACATCCTGGACACAGTTCATCTCTGCAGCAGGAGGGTGCGGTGGCTAAGGGGCTCACTTCTGGAGTGAGGCCATCTGCATTCCAGTTCCAGCCCCATGCTCACCCCTGTAGGTCTTGGGCACTTTGCTTAGGCTCTGTGGCTCTTTCCTCATCTGCAATATAAGCAAGATAATAGCACCTACCTCATGCAGTTGCTGAGGTTGAAATAATCTCTGTGAAGCATATAGAACACAGCCATGTTCTCTTAGCTTTGGGCCTTTGCACCTTGTTCCCTCGGCCTGGCCCACTCTGCCTCCCACTTGCTTCCCTCTCTTCACCTCCAACTGTTCCTGCCATTATTGCTTAATGCCCATCCTTCAATCAGGTCCTCTGTCTCTTCCAGGAATCCCTTCCTGGTTCCTCACCCAGGTGTCCCCATGAAGCTGCACCATCACTACTCTTACCACCCTGAATCCTGTTTACTTGATGGTTCCCCCTACCTCTCTGTAAACTGAATCAAGGTCCCTGAACCTCTTTACTGCTAGGGTCTAGCACAGCACCTGCACAGTACCTAGTAGGTGCACAAGTAATTATTGGCTGATGGCCCAGGGAAAGGATTAATTCTGAACAGATCATAGGTAGAAGTGATCACACATGATGGACCTGGGCCATGAAACTGAAGAAGGAATCAGGGTGCGGCAAGGGGAAAGGCCCTCAAGCAAAGGAGCCTTGAAAGGGCATAGGCTGGCCTGGCTTAGAAACAACAGCTGTTGCCTACTGAGTACCTAGACCAAGCCAGGCAGCATCCCAGATGTTTGTGTGGACTGGCTCACTTAAATCCTCCCCACACCTCTAGGAAGCAGGAATTTTTATGCCCCTCCTGCCTTTTACTGATAGGAAGTGCCACAGAGAGGTTGAGATACCTGCTCAAAGTAAGCAAGCTAATGACAAACAGAGCAGGCCATGAATTCAGAACCCTCCTAAGCTCTTCAATTGCTATCAGTATTACTAGGCCTTACTCTCCCTCTAGAGGTTCGCAATTGATCCAGGTGCCTTTGCCTTGCTCATTCCAAGCTATGGTGAAGTTTTGGCACTCACTGTGTCATGAATGCAATGTCTCCAACCTGCCTACCTGCATAGAATAATCCACTGTCCGCAGAAATCGCTGCTAGAGCCTACGGTCAAAATCCCCATAGCACCTGTCACTCCATCAATAAGATTCTTATCACCCATGAACTTTCTAGGTGAACTTCAGCAGTTCTGCGCTTGCAAATGAAGCATCCTCAGTTACTGTCACTCAGTAAGTGCTTCTCTCTCTCTCTCCAGGACCTACACAGTTTCCATTAGCCAAGGGCAATTAAGCTCTAACCATGGGAGCTCATTAGCAGCCTGGAGAGTCTGGCTTGACGGGAATGGACACCATTCCTGCACCACAAGGGAGCCTAAAGTACCACCCCTTTCTGCTGGCACACAGTGCACCACCCATCCACCTACTATTGCCAAAGTATCACCATCACTTAAAGGCAGCTGCTGCTTACCAAGTACCAGCTTTGAGCAGGACACCATTTCCCCACTTTATGGATGAGGAAGTTACAGTGCAGAGACTTAAGGAAGCATCTTGCAGTAACATGGTCCAGCTGATCTGATTCCAGTCTGTAGTCTTACTTGTTGATTCAAGTCATTGTTTTAAATTAAGTGATGTACCTTGAATTTTTAAATAAAATGTTTGTAATAACATCATGATAATTTCCTTAACTCCAAACAAAGCCTATGTGCCCCTGGATACAAACAGTCCATTCTAAAAAGCATCCTGGCATTTTAATATAGAAATGGATCATGGGAACTCTGAAGAAGCATGGCACTCAAGCAGTTAAGCAAATGGCAATTTCAGCATATTTCTGTAAATGCCTTTATTGATAGTTCAGCAGGAGTTTCTTCCATGAAAACACAGAATATTAATGGAAACCTTGATTTACATTCTAAGTTTAACCCATTTAATAATGATGGGTTTGTTATGAACCAGCCTTTGTCCCAAAGTATTAATTCTGCTATTTCCCAGCCAGTTGCCTCTAGATCTCCCCAAGGAATGAGCAATGATAATATAGCCTGTCCCTGTTATTTTTCCAGCATCTTCATTTGATCTATTTATAGCAAGAAGTAAAATCAGGGCTGGGGATGTGGCTCAAGCGGTAGCGCGCTCGCCTGGCATGCGTGCGGCCCGGGTTCGATCCTCAGCACCACGTACAAAGATGTTGTGTCCGCCAATAATTAAAAAATAAATATTAAAAAAAGAAGTAAAATCAGCAAGTTCAGAAATGGGAGAAAATAAGGTACATTGTTTGACTATTTCTGTTTTTGCTCTGAGATGAACCCACTCAGTAGGTGTTGCCTAGTCCTTATCCACAGCACTCCCCAGGAAGGCAGTAAAGCATCTTACCAAAAAAACCAAGATCCAGGTCTTGAGCTAAGAGTTAACAGCAGAGCCTGAACTCCTGGTGTGTGTGGGGTTGTGTGTGGAAGGGTCCCTATGTGGTCCAGTATAAGGGAAAGTTTCTTGAAGGCACACTAAGGGTTAAGTATTTCACCACAAATGAGCTCAGTCAGTCCCAGACCAAAACACAAGGCAGGTGCCATTAGTTGAAGCATTTTACCAATGAAGAATCAGAGCTGTGAAAAGGATGAGTAATTTTCTCAAGTCACATTCCCAGCAAGTGGTGAATCTAAATCATGTCTCCTCAAGGCTCTGATCCTTCCACCAAATCTCACCGCCCCTGGCCCAACTGAAGAAACACTGGCCTAGTGGTCAGGATGCTGACCTTGGGCATATCACTGTCCTCCTCATATGTGTCTCTCTGCTGTAAAATAAAGAGGACAAGTACCAGCTTCAGCAGCCTAAGGCTTTGGTAACTCAAAGGCTGACCCAGGCCTCTTTTCTCCCAAAAGGCCTGACCCAAGGGGCTATCATGCCTGCCCTCATATTTGCCAGTCAGATGGCATGTGGCAGTGCATTCCTGCTTCAGGCTATTTCCTCTCTGTGAACCCACAGCTGGAACAGCCAGCTTGATGTTCTCCTGTTCTCAAGTTCCAGAACTCTACCTTATCCTCGAATTATCCTAGGACTTGCACATTTATGAAGAGTTGAAAATTAATTGACTGTGTATTCCTGGAGTCTCAGTTTTTGAAGTGCCATTAGGCTAACCTTCCATAAATAAGCACAAAGTTAAAAAGGATTATTTGAAGCATTCATCTGCATGGATTCTAATTTCTCAAATATTCGAGGCTAACCTGACTAGATAGACATAAATTCAATTTTACTTATTAAAATCTCTTTATCTAAGCAGAAGCCAAGCAATATTTGGAAGGGCATAGTTTTTGGCCAGTGCCCAGATTTTAGCTCTAATCCTTAATAGCAGGGCATGTTTGAGTCATTTGTTTTAATGGAGCCTCAGGTTTCTGCACTTGTAAAATGAGACTCATGTCTACTTTGCAGAGTTTTAAGGCATGGAAACAGTATGTAAAAATGCCTCACAGCACAGGGACATATGGCAAGCTCTCAACAAAAAACTAGACAAGTAAAAGCAGAGGGCTTGCATCAGTCTGATAATACTTTACTCAGAGAAATGCCCAACTACCAAGAGGGCCCCCAAGGAGGCGGCTCTTAACAGCAGGAGCTCTCAATCCACTGACTGTGCATGAGAATCATCTGAGAGCTTTAAACTTTTTATGTCCAGGCAAAACCTCTGCAGGGAATTCTGGTGATTCCAACATGCAGTAAAGCTAAGACCATTGCCTTGTGACCTGGCCTTTCTAAGTTTGGTCCAAAGGGATCCAGGACTCCAAAGGGAGGCCTGGGAGCCATCAGGGCTGGGCAGATACATTCACTGGGAACATAATGATGCCTGTGCTTGGGGTGGCATTACTCTTGCAGTAACCCCAGTGGTAGTAAGCTGTTGCACAGCAGTTTAATAGTGCCGGGGGTGAGGACTCACCAAGACAAGAGCTACAGTGCACTAGGAAGCAACTCAGGCTGGCCTCCTGCAGCTCACCATCAGCGATGAGACCATCTGGACACTGTAGAGTGACTGGGTGTGTGCACACAAGAAAGAATGTGACCAGTGCTGTGTGAGGCAGAGGGAAGAACCATTTCTAGAAGGTGTCAGGCAGGTTTTTTGGAGCTGGTGGCTTTGACAGATTCTTGTTAGACCTGGACATGGGAGGGGGGACTCCAGGAGTCAAGGATGGAAACTGGTTATATTCCTAATCTAGTGTGCAGGAGCAAGAAAAGCAGGCAGTGTTGCTGTGTGACTCAAGTCCACTCCCAGTTTCCCATGGATTTCAGGCAGAGAAAAACTCTTTATAGTCATTCCATTGTGGGTCTGGGATCCAACTCTGCCCTCAAGACAAGGTCACCATGGGGCTTGAAGTCTGCTGCTCACAGATGGTTAAAACATAATTTCCCAACCATGCTTTTTTCTTTTTTTGAGTGTGGAAAAAGAATGAAAAGGAACAGTAAGGTATTCTAAGCAGTTAAAATAGGAAATGTTATTACCATTCAAATTAACATGAAAGGCTCAGTCTAATAGTTAGATTTTATTCAATCAAGAAAATCTTATCTCAGCTACTCAGGAGGCTGAGGCAAGAAGATCACAAGTTTGAGGCCAGCCTCAGCAACTTAACAAGGTAATAGTGCTAGGGATGTGGCATGGAGTAAAGCACACCTGGGTTCAATCCTCAGTACTCAGGAACAAACAAAAAGTCAATAAAGAAAACATGATCTCAGTGCTTAGGCCATCTCAGCAGGGTTAGATCTCTGGAGGTGGTTCTTGGGTTATCAGGCAATTCAAATTTGTAGGAAACTCAGACCATGGAGGATCAGAAGAACCAGATCTGCCTATTGTGAGCCTCTTGTGGAACCACTCAGTGACAGCTTTAAGGACTTCACAGAGTCCCAATTTCTCATGTAACAGATGGGAAAACTGCAGCCCAAGTTGGGAAGCAGACGTGTCAAGCCACCAGTGAGTTGGTGACAATCAGACTCTTTCACTTACACTCTCAGCTTCTCAGGAGAGGGCTGGTGGGCCTGCTCTTTGGACTGAGTGAAGCTGAGGCCCCTAGCCTTCTGCCATTCCCATCCTACGCAGGAAACTCAGCAGAGAAGGAAGTGACTTGCCCAAGGGCCAAGACTAGAACTTGGGTCTCTTTCTTGCCTCTCAGCCTTCTAATAGAAGCTTCCAAAATGGTATGTAAAAGGAATGGCATATGGTCAGATGGCCAGCCCAAAGAAGGGAATCAAGTTAACAATTCCAAATACAAATAATCTGAACAAATGACTGGGTAAACACTGGTTTCTCTAACACGTTCTCACTTTCCATGAGTGGTCCTGTTTCTGTGGAGACCACCAGAAGAGGAGCATGGGCCAAGAACTGAAGTGTTAGAGTTAATACTAGGCTATGAGATGGGCACTTAGACAACTTGCACTTGGGTCAAGAATTCCATGACTCCTTCTTTGGTGAGGAAGAGCACCTCACCAGTGTTTTGACACCAAACCTCAAAATGTGCAGGGTCCTCCAGGGCCCTCTTGCCAGCAATTATCACGAAGGGGTAGCCGAGCTTGTTGGCATCTTTCAGTCTATTTCCAATGGTAAGATGGGTCCTGTCATCCAGAAGGACCTCCCCATGGAGCTGAGGCAGAGCCTCTGTGATGTGGTCATACAGGTGCCCCATGAGCTCTGCAGCAGCTTCCTCCTTACTGGCTGCCTTAGGGGGGATGAGGCAGACTTGGTAAGGGGCCAGAAGGCGGGGCCAGCGGATACAATCTTCTGTAGAGAGAACTTCAATAGCAGCAGCCAAGATCCGTGTCACACCCAAGCCATAGCACCCCATTTCAGCCAGGGATGGTTTACCATGAGCATTGGTAAACTGGGCATTGAAAATGGAAGAATACTTGGTACCCAGGTAGAATGTATGTCCTACCTCAATGCCTTTCGTTTCAGTCAGTGGGCCCTGGCAGGCAGGGCAATTCTTCTGTGACAAGCCTAGTGTCTCCACATTGGCTGAGAAGCTGCAGCTTGGACAGACTGCAAGCCGGTCCTCTCCAATATCCACTGGTAGCTGGAACTCATGAGACATTGTGCCCCCAATACTACCCACATCTGCCTGGGCCTTGATAAATCGCAGCCCCAGCCTGTCAAATAGGCTGCAGTAGGCATCACACACCAGGCCATAGGTCTGCTGGGCAGCCTCTGGGGAAGAGTCAAAGGTGTACATATCTTTCATGTAAAACTCTCGGCTACGGAGAAGACCAAAGCGGGGCCTAGGCTCATCCCGAAACTTCCTCGTCACTTGGTACAGTAGAAACGGAAGCTGCTTGTAGGACAGTTTCTTCTGGGAGGCAATAAGGGCAGTAATGGCCTCCTCGTGAGTTGGACCTAAGCAGTATTCCTTACCATGCCTGTCTCTCAGTCTTAGCAGCTCCTTGCCCATCAGGTCCCAGCGGTTGGTGATCTGCCAGAGTTCTGCTGGGCTGAGGCTGGGCATGCTGATTTTCTGCCCCCCAATCCCCTGCATCTCCTGGTCTATCACTCGCACAAGCTTCTCCATAGCACGAACGGTGTAGGGCAGGAGATGGTAACAGCCAGGGCTTGCTGGGAGGATCAGACCCACCTGCAGCATCAGTCGCTGGCTCTTACAAGTCAGGTCGCTAGATTTTCCCTCCACAGAAAGCACTTGGTCTTCCCGGAGGTTCTGTGGCTGAAACATGCGGGACAATATCAAGCGCTGCCCTCTCCCTGGGGCAGAGTGGTGACATCTGTGGGATATGTATCTGGAGAGCTGGTGGCTGCAGGTGGCCCAGGTGGACAATGCTCTGCATCTTGTCAGCAGCCCTTCCATGACAACCTGGCACAGGGAAGCAGGTACCTGGAGACAAATGAGTTGTGGGGAATGAGCTGTGCCTGGGTTCTGAGTCACTAAGAAGTCACTCAGTCTGGTCTCCAGCAAACTTCCAAGTCAGCCACTGACTCTGTAGGTGTGAATCCTTCTATTTCTGATATTCTAGCAGATCAAAGCACTACTTCTCTTACCTTTTATTTCTTTAAAAAAAGTCAGTATTTTTTCTGGCTATGAGAGCATACCAACATGCTGTGGAGACGCCACCAGCAGTGACTGCACGGCCCTGAGACCAGGCAGCCTGGATTCCAGACAGTCTTTTCCCTGACCATGTGCCTTAGCCCCCGGTGCTCAGTTTCTTCATCTGGGAGATAATAATAATGGGACCTATCTTGAAGGTTTACTGTGGGAATTTAGAAGTTCTTAGAATAGTATCTGGCACAATACTATGAGCCTGACTGATGTTTCCTATTATTGTAGGAAACTGAGAGGGAAAAAAACTAGAAGAAAATCCACTATAATCCCTCAGGCAATTGCTGTGGACACTGTGGCAATCCTTTGTCTCTTTTGCAAGCCCTGCTCTTCCCATCTCTCACCCTGTTTAAAAATCAATTTCAGGTGCCTCAGCCCTCCTTATTGCACGTGCCCTGGGCAGTCCGAATCTCCACTCCCCCATGTGTGGCTCATCTCAAGTTTCAAACCTCCATACTGACCCCTGCCTGGAGAGCACACTGCACAGCTTACTTCCAACTCTGCACCACAGAATAAACTCAACATTTTCCCCAGACCTGCCTATCATACTGAATGGCACTGCAAGCTGTCCTTACCAAACAAAACAGAATCAGAAACCTGGGTATATCCACTCTGCCCCTTGCTGTGGCCACATTCACCAGCCCTCTGGATCCTGTCATTCTTGTCCCCATCTCTATCTTCTCAGCCTGTACCTCAGTCTAGGCCACTGTCATTTCATCTCCTGACTTGCATTCCTGCCCTCCTTCAATCTGTTCCCCCACTGCAGCCTTCAGGGAGGCTTCCAATACAATGCAGTCCCAGTATTTGTTCCTCAAAATGGCTTCCTGGTGACCCAAGAATAAGGTCCAAGTCTCTGACCTTCAGGGTGTATACAGCATGCCCCTCCTGGCCATGTCACACCAGTGCTGCCCGCTCCCTGTTCTAGTTTCCTCATGTGCCTCTTTTTTACTTAATTTTTTTTTTTTTTTAGTTTTTTGGTTTTAGGTGAACACAATGTCTTCATTTTATTTTTATGTGATGCTGAGAAACGAATCCAGTGCCCCACACATGCTAGGCAGGCACACTACCACTTGAGCCACATCCCCAGCCCTCCCCATGTTCCTCTTAAACACACAGATTTCTCTGTGGCACGCAGCCCCTGCCCTGTGCATCCCAACACCTACTCGTGCTCCAGGCCTGAGGATCACTGCCTTGTTCTCTGGGAAGCCTCTTTTGTCCCTTTCTCCAGACACCAAACAACTGGCTTCTCCTGCATACCCTCTGGTTCCCACCAAACATGAATTCCTGTGTGGAGGCTGCTCATTTGGCTGCCTGATTCCTCCAGACACTTGGCTCTGTGTGGGCAAGGACCCATCTGTCCTGCTCACCACTGTATCCTTGGCACATGGCAAGACTTACTATATGCTGTCCAGTGAATAGTATGTTTCCCTGTGATAAGATATTCACATATTTCTAAGAGCAGGACGACCTTCCACTGATGGACTACATCAAAAATGATTCTCCAGTCAGAGTTGTTGGTTTTCTCTGTTACATATAATCTATAATGCACAGATCGCTTTCTTCTTTTTTGGTATATATTTGGGAAACATTTCAGGAAAGGAATTAATGAGTCAAAGGGCATAAACTCCTTTGAGGCTCTTAATTTACAGTACCAAAGTCAGCTGAGTACCTCAACTTTTCAGCACAGTCCCTGCAGCAAAGCTCTGGCAGTATGCCAATATGTTACTGATGCCTCCCATCTTTGGAGTATTAGAATCCCAAGATTCAAGTCCACTTGTCAGTCCCCTTCAACAAGTAGCCTCGTCAATTTCTCCTGTGCACTGTACAAATACTAAAAGGTTATGAGGCACTACCACAGAGCCCTAGTGTGGCTTCACAGAAATGTGGCCTAGAAGAAGGCACATACGGATTCACCCCTGACTTCATCACTTACTTAAGGTCCAACCTTAGCTCAGTGGCCCAAGTAAGAAACTCCTTCACCTTTGACTCCTCCTAAAGCAAGAAAGTCTCCATAATTTCTCTCAGGTCCACTCCCTTTTTTCTACATTACGATAGTCTAGTGATCCTGAAATTCAATGGAGCATCAGAATCACTGTGGCCTTGTTAAAAACACTGATTATCAGCGCCTGAAATCCCACTAGCTCAGGAAGCTGAGGCAGGAAGATCATGAGTGCAAAGCCAGACTCAGCAATTAAGTGTGGCCCTAAGAAACTCAGCAAGATTATCTCTAAATGAAATATAAAAAAGGGCTGTGGCTGAAACAGTGCCACAGGTGCCCCTGGGTTCAATCCCCATACCAAACAAAACAAAACCAAAAAAGCCACTGATTGCCAGGTCTTAACCTCATCGAGTATCTGATTCAGTAGGTGTAGGCAGAGAACTCAAATTCCTAACAAGCATCCAGGCGGTGTTGATGTGCTGGTTCAGGGACCACACTGGGAAAAACATTGCAGGGACAGAGCTGTGCACGTGTGCTGAATGGGACTATAAACTTCAAGAAGACAATAACCTTGTCTATTTTATTCCAGGTATCTGCAGTATCTGCAGCATCCAGCACAGTGCCTGCGCACAGTGCTGAAAGAGTCTTTTTACCTGTCAGTTCAGTCTCCCCATTACTGACAAAAAAGATAGGTGGTCTGAACACTCCCCTGCTTATATTATATTATATTAACAACTCCCCATCATATTTTCTCAGAATGGCATCAAAGCTTTTCATATTTTGATCTCAACACATCTTTTCCAGCTTTTTATCCTACCAATTCCTTAACATGCCCCAAATTACTAATCATTCCTGGAACAGGCCAACCTCCAAATCCCAGCAACTTCAACACACCATGCAACCTTTACTTATCTCCAGAAGCTTCCTCCAGAAGCTTCCTTCAGGACAGAAACCCACTTCCTTCTCCGAACTCCTTTGGCACGTGCTTCCTTGCAGTGTATTGTACTGCAGCCACTTCCAAAAAATATTTCTAAGTGTCTTAGTATTGGGAGTGAATGTTTCATGTCCTAATCCTCCATTAAGCTATGAGTTCATAAAATTTATACACTCTTAGACTTAGGGTCTAGCACAATGCCTAATATTTGGACAATTATTAATAACATTTCTTGATCAAATATTAAAAATGAAGAGAACAGGGATGCAATAATATAATTATTTGTGTAATTTAAATAGAGCTTTAAGCCCTCCCCCACCAATGTGTGCCTGTTCTCTGCTTATACAAACAGAATAATTAGTATTTTATCTTATTTTTCAAAATACTGGCCAGAGACAATAAAGTAATAGGGTAACAAATATGGTAACCTTATAGTAATGAATGAGACCAAAACTTCAAATCTAGCAAAGAGCCTCTGAGTCATTCAAATTCAGCAAACTTTTACAGAGTACATACTCTGTGTGGAGCTGCTGGTGCTTCCTCATCAGGTCTTTTAAAAGATTCTCAAGACTCCCAACTACCCTGCAATCCAATCAGGTAAGTTGTACTCAAAAGTGTTTACAATAGTGCTGGGTGCCCAGTTAAGTGCCATAATGTTTACTGCTAGAGAAATCCCCCGTCAAGCAGAAGCAAATCGGCACATGGTCAACGTTGGAAGACAAGGAACACTCCCCGCTCCCAATCCAATAAAACTGCAATGGAACCCCATATCGGGTTCTAAGAACTGGCTAGGCCTTCACTTAGGAGTGACCCTGATCCAGTCACTCCACTGCCGAGACCTGCTTTCCCATTCCTAGAACGGGAAGCTTGGCTCGACCACCAGGTGATTCCCGAGGCCCTTCCAGGGCCGGCACTTCTAGGAATGCCGATTCTCACGACCACCCGACGCAGTCAAGGGCGGAAGTGCTGCCCTTGAAAAAAAATGAGGACTTTTCCACCTAGAAAACTGAGACAAGGTGACCAGCAGGATCCATCCAAGAGTTCATGTGATTGTAACCCGCCCCAGTTCAAGGACGCGATGCACGTAAGAAAACGAACACCAGGTCCAGGGTCCCCACGCCCAGAACCCTCGCCCGCTGCTCTCCTCCCGCTGTCATCCACGCTCACCACCAGCAGTCTCGGTCAGTGCCACCCGCTCGTCCACCCCGCCGAGCCAGCGCGCCGGCGCCAGCTCGCGCTAAGCCCTGCCTCCAGACCTTCTCGCCAATCGCAAGGCCACACTCACGGGGATGGGGCGGTGCTCCCTGGACCATTCAGTAGTCGGGCGTGTGCAGTTTTCCGGAAGTTTAGTCGAAGAGAGAGATTGGCTCTCCCCGAGATCATAGATTAGCCTGGATCAGTAGATCACCATTCCGGAAGTGCCCTCTAGGAAACATGGAGGCTTAACTCTATGGTCAAAGCCGACTCCAGAAGATTTTGCCTTAGTGTTCTCTCCCACTATCCCTCCCCATTTTCGAAGAGAAGTGCTGCTGGCTGCAGTGTAACTATGACAACCTGCAGGCCATCCACCCGATGATTATTTAGGATTTCAATTTAAAATTTTAAAATTGTGAAATGGTTGGAGAGAGGCACTTTTATTAGTGCCCAAGATGGTCCTTAAGACACGAATTCAAACTTTCATTTACAAAATTTTTTTGGAGCATCGACCTTGTATGATCCACTGTTGCAGTCACAGGGAAGAGTGAAGTGAACAAAAAAGACAAAATTACCTACGTTCAGTGTAGCTTACATCCTAGAGAAGGAAACAGAGTCTGGTGAAATTTAGGCAGTGTGGGAAGGGGGACTACAAGGACCACAGTACTAAAGATAAATAGCATTTTAATACAATTATTTTAAAAAATAAAAATTAAGGGGCTGGGGATGTGGCTCAAGTGGTAGCGCGCTAGCCTGGCATGCGTGCAGCCCCTTCTCGATCCTCAGCACCACATACAAACAAAGATGTTGTGTCCACCGAAAACTAAAAAATAAATATTAAAAATTCTCTCTCTCTCAAAAAAAAAAAAAAATAACAAAAAACCACAGCGAAAAATTATCAAGATTTTAAATAATGACAGTCTGTCAGCAGGTGTTAGTTGCTTTGGAGAAAAGCTAGGGAAGGAGAATGGAGTGGGGATTTGAGAGGTGGCAATTAAAAAGGATGCTCAAGGGAAACATCAAGAAGGTGACATTTTAGCAAAGAACCCAAAGAGGTGCAAGACAGCCTTGCAGATAGATATCTGGAGGAAGAATATTCTAGAACCAGGGAGCAATATGATGTGTTTCTGAAGTAGCACCCCCTTTCTCCACTGAAAAGTCTTAACCCGGCCTCTCCAGAAATCTTCACCATGGCTGATTTTAGGACTGTCAGCAAAAGAGTTTCTGCAAAAGAGTTCAATGTAGATAAACTTCCTATTTTTGTGTTGCCCTGTTTTACTTGGCCACTGGCCGAGAAGATATCAGCACTCCAGGTGCTGGATACCCCCTTACTAGTTTTTCACAAACATATCCAATATAATACTTTGAAGAAATGTGCAAACAAGGCCTCTGGCCTTGAGCTGGGCTTCACAGAGATGTCTACATTTTTAAGGTAAGTTACAAATGGACTCCATGGTAACATCTGGCAGTGGGAGGAAAGAAAGCGGGGAAGAAGCTCTCCCCTTCTCAGGTGTTGACCTTGAAGAGTTAACTTGCCCAAAACAGTGAAAGAAAAAGCTGCTTTTTTGTGAACTTCTGCAGACTGTGAACTTCTGAGCCCCTCCCCTTACACGCTGGGTATAAAACTCTGAAACTCCCTGAATTCAGGGTTCAGGGGATTAATTGATTACAGCAAAAGCTGTACCCTCTGAACCTGGCTGCAGCCAAATAAAACTGTTTCCTGCTATCTTCGGTGCCTTGCCTCATTTGTCCCTAAACATTTCAACAAGAGCTGTATGTTTTATAACTCTACCTAATAACTATGGTGTATAGGATGCCTAAAATGTGCCAGAGCAGATGTAAGACATGGGTGACTCTGATGCTGACCCAAGCAATTCTCTGCTCTCAGGGAGCTTCCAGGAACCATGTCATGGTATCAGTGGTGGGGGGAGGGGGCACTAAGCAAAATCCTGGGGGAGCCTGGGGAAGGAGGGCTTCACTGAGGTGGTGAAGATTAGCAGGACAAGAATGGCAGTGGGAGTGGAATGCAACATCATGCAGAGGGCCCAAAGCACAGACTGGGAAATGATGAGCCAGGGTGAGGAGGTGTGGGATGTGGTGGGAATTACACCTTTATTTCTTTTTTCAATTTTTTTTTAGTTGGAGTCGGACATAATACCTTTATTTTATTTATTTATTTTTATGTGATGCTGAGGATCGACCCAGCTACTGCTGAGCCACAGCCCCAGCCCTCATCTTTATTTCTTACATCTCTTAACACCATGCTTGAATCTCAGGTCAGAGCAGTGGTTCTCAGCCTTGACTATACTGGAATCACCATGTGCACCCCCCCACACCCCACCCCACCCAAGGTGCTAGTGAGAAACTGATGTGACTCCATTTTTGAAAAAATCTTCTACCTTAAAGCCTTTCCAAGGAGGGGGGAGTGACCCTTGTCCTTGGAAAAACCCACAGAGAGCTCCTAGGCACATACCCACCCTGCTGAGTTTTTTGTCTGCAAACAACAGGAGAGATCTGTGGCACCAGGTGTCCCCGACTCAGTTAGGCTAGGTGAGGACCCATAGCAACCCCCTAGCAACCACCAATCAGCATGAGACAGGGAAAATACCTGGGATGCCAGATGATCCCCCAGTGCTGGGAGCCATTAGCCAAGTAGGTATGACAATTTCCTTGCCAGCGTACCCCATGTTGCAGTGACATTGAATGTAGGTGACCTTGCTCAAGGACCAAGGCAGATTAGGGTGTTCCCGGTTTTAGATAATCGTGTTTAGGGCGTTCCCAGTTTAGGTTCCAGGTTTAAGGTTTAAGATTATTCCTGCTGGGAATAGGGCGCATCCTGCTGCCTGAGTTCCCCTTGAGTTCTCACAGGATTCAGACAGTATATTTTGGAGATAGAAGCCCAGTGGAGGTGGATTTGGGCAGAGAACGTGGATTTCCCCAGAACGTGATTGTAGAAGGCTGGTGTGAGTTCGGGAATAAAGAGTTGCTGTTTGAATCTACAAGCTGTGTGGTGGCTCGTGATTGTGTGCCCAGCCAGACTGCGGCATTTGTGCCCAGCCAGACTGTGGCACCCCAGTAGTTTATGGTAGTTGATAACATGTTGAGAAACCATGTAGTTTGGAGACCCCTCGTGGCTTAAACCAATCAGTTCAGAGGAATCCCCCTCTTGTACAAAAGCTGCATGTTTTATAACTCTACCTAATAACAACTATGGTGTATAGGATGCCTAAAATGTGCCAGAACAATTTGGGTAGCAATCACCCCTACCCAACTTGTTCCCACCAGTGAATGTGCTAATCAATGTTAAGAGTTGTTGTTTGACTTTCCCGCGATGTGATAATGATTTGCTATGTGATGTTGTGAAGCCTAGAGTATCCCCCAAAACCTATAAAATCTCACTGGACAAAGGACCAGGACTCACTTCCTGGGACCACTGCATCGGGAATGGTTGTGGGTCCAGGCTTGAGCTTGCAATAAAGACTCTTGTGTGATTGCATCGGATTCGGCTCCTGGAGGTCTACTGGGGTCCCACGAATCTGGCATTACACTAGCTATCAATCTGAGGTGAGCCTGGGTAGCAATATTTTATAGTCTTCCCCAGAATGAGTTCAATGCGCAGGCAGCTGGTCTACAGAAAAGTCCCTAGACAGCCTAGTGAGGAGAATTCAGGGGGACGGTGGGTGCGCGGTATCATTACAATCAAAGATTAGCAAAATGCAGCTGGGCTGGAAAATACCAGTGGCACTAGGAGGCCAGGCAGAGCTGGGTGGACCTGAGCTCTGTCTCTGGGAGCCCTGCTTGTCCTCTGAAGCCCAGGACTAGGGGTGGGGTTTTCCCTAGGCTTTGAAGGGATGTACTGGGGCAACATTCCCCACTCCTCGGGGAATGCAAGGCCAAATCAGCTTCAGAATTTCCCGTGATTCACATTTCTAAAGTAGCCTTTTATTTCTCCATGCTCCCTTACATGTTATTACATCCCTTCCAATCCTGGAAAAGCCAGGCAGCCATCTTCTGTACCCTGAGGTGTTAATTATTTCTCAATTAGCAGTTCCCAGGCTGTAGAGCATAGTGGTGTGGAGAGGCCTAATGACTTGCTGTGTTTATAAACCCCCACATCTTTAGAGCACTTACTAGTGGTAACTAATTAATGCTCACGACCCTCTTGGGAGGCAGGCCAAGAAAGCTGCATTTTACTGAGAGTTTGCAGGAAGCTCTCAGCCTGGAGCCTCAGAACCTGGTCAAGACAGCCATAGTCAAAGTAGATTTCCTCCCTGCTGAGAAAGTCCAGAGTGGTCGAGACCCAGCATCCGGCCCTGTCACTGCAGCAACTTCCTGTGTGATATTTCATACACACACACACACACACACACACATCTGTAAATATATATTTTTTAGTTGTCGATGGACCTTTATTTTATTTATTTATGTGCAGTGATCAGAATCAAACCCAGTGCCTCACACATACTTGGCAACTGCTCTACCACTGAGCCCCAGCCCCAGCCCCCTGCCTGACATTTCAAGCCATCAGTTGCTCAGCAATTTATTGGATGTCTTGGTTTACAGAGTTCACTCATGATTAAAGCCCCACAAGTGGGCTGGGGATGTGGCTCAAGCAGTAGCACGCTTGCTTGGCATGCGTGCGGCCCGGGTTCGATCCTCAGCACCACATACAAACAAAGATGTTGTGTCCACCGAATACTAAAAAATAAATATTAAAAAAATTCTCTCTCTCTCTTAAAAAAATAAATTTAAAGCCCCACAAGTTAAAAAAAAAAAAGAAAACCAGAAAAAATTCACTCATATATTAGTTATCAAAAAGGAAAATGAGCAGGATGTCATGGCACACACCTGCAGGTGAAGGTAACAGGACTGCAAGTTGCCTGGGCAACTTAGTGAGATCCTGTCTTAAAATAAAACATAAAAAGGGAGTGAGCTCGGGATGAAGCTCAGTGCTAGAGCACCCTGGA